CATGTACCACACATTGGGATGTGCTACTTTAGACAAAAACTACAGTGAATTTTCACCACTCACTGTGCCTTTGAACCTGTTGTTCACTCCTCTTGGAGGATCTTTTCCTATTCTCTATAAAGTTACTCCCTTCCTTTTGGACTCAATCTAAAAGGCACCTCCCCTTTGAAGCTTCCCTCACTCATAAAGTGAGATGCTCCCCACTTGAATCCCAACGCATTTTTAGCTGCCTCCACCATAACATTTATCACATTGTAGTGAGTGCCTCATGAAACTGAGTACTCGAGTCATCTTTGGGACATCCTGTTATCTACCTAGGTACTCAGAAAAATGTCTGCTAAATAAATGAATGATGAATTATATAGCCAAAGCTAAGCTAAACATAAGTCATTCATAGTATAAATATTCCAGCATAATATTACTTCTGTTAAGTTAAAGGCATCCTAACACCTCAATGTATGAAAGACTTCTCTGTAATGATCAAAGGGGACCAACTGGCAAGTTCAAGGTATTCCCAGTACACAGGAGAAAGAACACAGAAGAACTGAGAAGGGAGTATAAAATTACACTAGATTTCAGTGTAACATTTTTACAAAATGTTAGCTTGCAGAGGCCCTAGTTATCCCTTTTAGGAACCCTCCTAACTGCAAACTTTTTAAACTAAAGCTACAGAAGCAAATTTAAAATAAAGCAAAGAGTTATTAAAGCAGAGATTAAGCATGGTTACTTCTGAAATGACCTCACTGAGAACAAAAATTATGTCACTAACAAAGTGAGACACCCTGAATACCTGCTGGTCCCTAATACCAGCCCTGTGTGTTACAATCGAGGAAATGCCCTCTTCCTATTATACTTTTCCTAGGCTTACAGAAGAATGAACCAGAAAATGTTGAGAGATGTGGTCTCAGGTTTGGCAGACTTTTAAAATCTGTTTCTAATCCCAACAAGACATTTAATCTCTCCTGCCTTTATTTTCCTCATCTGTAAAATAAAAAGCAGTTGACTGATACACTAATGAACAGACATTCAAAATTGGTAAAAATATAAGTGTATACTTTGATATTCTGGTTATACCTGAAAAATAATGACTGTACATATATATATATATTTCTTTCAAGTGCTGTTATTTAGGGGAAGGGAGAACCACCTGAATGTTCATAAATTTGGTCACAGTTAAACATTTGTTGAGTAGATTGACTTGTGCCCCCCCTTCCAATATTCATATGTTGATGTCTAAATACCTAATACCTCAGAATGTGACTTTATTTGGAGATAGGGTCTTTAAAGTGGTAATTAACTTTTTTTTTTTTTTAAGATTTTATTTATTTATTTGACACAGAGAGAGAGAGACACAGCGAGAGAGGGAACACAAGCAGGGGGAATGGGAGAGGGAGAAGCAGGCCTCCCGCGGAGCAGGGAGCCCGATGCGGGGCTCGATCCCAGGACCCTGGGATCACGACCTGAGCCGAAGGCAGACGCTTAACGACTGAGTCACCCAGGTGCCCCAAAGTGGTAATTAACTTTAAACGAGGTCATTAGGGTGAGCCCTAGTCCTGTATGACTGGTGTCCTTATAAGAAGAGATTAGGACACAGGCACACGCAGAGGGATGACCATGTGAGGACACACAGAAGACACAACCCTCTAAGCCAAGGAAGGAGGCCTCAGGAGGAACACCCCTGCCAACACTCTGTTCAGGACTCATAGGCTCCAGAATGGTGAGAAAATAAATTTCCGTTGTTTAAGCCACCCAGTCTGTGGTAGTCCTTTGTTATGGCAGCTCTAAAAAGTTAATATAGGTACCATCCCGGCCTTTGAGAGAAGATAGGTATGCAAAAAGATAAATAGTGCAGTGAGAAGCATATGATGAAGCAGATTATGAATATTATCAACTGAGCAGAATTTTGTGAAGCGATTAAAATTATAATTATAGGGGCGCCTGGGTGGCTCAGTTGGTTGAGCG